GGGCGGGCCTCCCGCTGCAGTGTCCACGGCCGGGACAGTGGACTTCAGTTCTAAGGAAAGAAGAAGTCGGTGTGTCCCGCACGCACATCACACATTTAGAAAACAGGTTGTTTTCTTCTCCTGCTGACTGTTAAAGTCAGGAGTGCATGGTATTTGTCTTTCACTGGCTGTCTAAAAATCACTTAGCAGAATGCTCTCCGGTTCCACATGACCTCACTCATTTGTGGAATATAAAGAACATTATAAACTGATAAACAAAAATAGATACCGAGGCAAAGAAGCATCGAACAGACTGTCAAACTACAGCAGGAAGGCCGGGCGGGAGGGGGGCGGGGGGTGGGGGGGAGGGCATGTGCCTGGGGTAGGGGAGGCCGGGGGGAGGTCAATGGGGGGAGAAAAGGAGACATATGTACTACTACTTGTAATACTTTAAACAATAAAATAAAATTCAAAAAAATAATAAAGTCAGGAGTGTACACACGAGCTGTGAGTAGCTGACTGCCATCGAAGGTCGTTTTTCCTGGGGGAACGTGAGTGTCCTTCTACTAAAACAAGTTGAGGCCCGATTGCCGGGCCCGTGGGACAGAAACGGGTGTTTCTACGCTGCGGGGCCTCTTTCATCTCTCCTGGGAATTGGATTAACTCAAAGTTTTCCCTTTCTCTTTTTTAACTTTTCCCCCCTATTTATATTTCTAAGACCCTGAGCGAAGTCTTTCATCTGAAAATCCAAAGGCCAACCTCCTTAAAATGCATGGCGGAAGATCTGAATATCCATTTGGGCAGATATTTCTAAAATTTCCTCTGTTCAATGTTATTTGAATTCTTCTCAAATAAGTTCAAAGAAGTTTTAGAACACACAGTGTGCTTAGAGTCTGAAGGACTAGTTTTGAAATCTCATATTCATTAAATGGGCCACATACATGACATGAAACGGAATGGAAAATTTGACCGGGAACAGTATGAAATGATCTAAACCTTGCAATGCTAGCCAAGGAATCTTGTTTGATATGAAATATTTTGGAGCTGACTATATCTGTCAAGACTGAAATTGCCCGTCCACACCATCTAATTCAGTTCAATGAATATGGTCGTCCCTCAGTGTCCAAAGGGGACTAGTTCCAGGACCCCCACAGATAACAAAATCTGGTGCTCAAGTCCCTTATGTATATAAAGAGTGTGGTGTTTGCATATAACCCACCCACATGCTCCTGTTTAAGTTATTCCTATGTTACTTGTAATATCCAATGCAATGTAAATGCTCTGTAATAGCTGTCATACTGTATCGCTTAGGGACCAACTTCTCTGAAATTATTTTTTGTAATATTTTTGAGGCACAGTTAGTTGAATCTATGGATGTGGAACAACAAATATGAAGGCCTGACTATATAGATTTATTTTACTCTATTCCATTCTATTGCATGCAATTCCACTCATCCATTCTATTCCACCCATTTCATCCATCCCACTCCCTGCATTCCATGCGTTTCATCCCTTCCATGGCACTCCCTCCATCCCACTCCATCCATTCCATCCATCCATCCCACTCCATGCATTCCATCCATCCATCCCACTCCATCCCCTCCACTCCATCTCTTCCATTCCATCCATCCATCTCACTCCATCCATTCCATCCATCCATCTCACTCCATCCATTCCATCCATCCATCCCACTCCCTCCATTCCATCCGTTTCATCCCTTCCATCCCACTCCCTCCATCCCACTCCATCCATTCCATCCATCCATCCCACTCCATCCATTCCATCCATCCATCCCACTCCATCCCCTCCACTCCATCTCTTCCATTCCATCCATTTCATCCCAC